TTGCTATTGTCTGTAAGTGATTTCTTTCTGTAATTTAAGTCTCAAGCTAGCTATAGTGATCATTTTGATCAATCATTACCTGTAATAAGTATCCTCACTATATTCTTTTATGTGGTATTATGCAGGATGAAGATTTATGAAATGAAAAAAGGTGGACGCTATGGCATTGGGTTCGTTGACCCAAATACCATTAATGAATACACATGGAAAATAGATTCATATTACAAAAAAAGTGTAGAGGAAAGCATGCTAGAGTTCTTCAAACACCTCAAATATAATGAAGATATACTACTTCCTTACAATTTCGAGTGAGTCACACTGTCTTGTACTACAAATTCTGTTTTTGCCTACTAGCTAGCTACATGTTTTTGCTTACATATGCCCGCTTAATTAAGACATGCAAACGTGTGTGCATGCAGATTTCATTGGATCTTGTTAATCATTAAAGTTGATGAAGGAACAGTTGAAGTACTAGACTCACTACTTAAGAAAGCAAGTGACTACACCATCGTGAAGGGGATAGTCAACAGGTAATTTCAATCATTATTAACTATATCTCGGCCTATTTAATTAGTTCTTCATTTCCTAATAACAACTATTTAATAACCCATTTATTCATTTTTTTTGTCGGCGGGCAGGGCTTGGGCAAAGTTCATCAGGGTCACTCCAGGCCCATGGAAACAAAATCTGAAATGGTATCGACCCCAGGTAAGTAATTAAGTAGTACTAGCTAGCTGCCATCTCTTTAATTATCATGCTTGATTAATTATTATCTGATCAAATTCCATTCCCTAAAGGCCCTGAAGAAGGCGCCGGGGAATAATCTGTGTGCATACTACGTTTGAGAGAACATTCGCATGATGGCGTCCGAAAGGAACGAATCTCAAAGACAGGAGTGGGTACATTTGTCAGAACACTATTCATAATTTTTACACCATTATCAATATCTAGTCACACAATTAATACACATGCATATTGATCTCCTTCTTAACAGTTCAAAGAGGTGCGGGAGAAGCTCCTAACAAAGAAGCGCATAGAAGCAATTCAAGAGGAAATAGCGGGATTTTTACTCGACCAGGTCATAGATCCCAAAGGAGAATACTATTACCCGCTACCGCCCCCGTGAACCACTTCCAATTGTTATCGTGCTCCGAAGGCACCAATTAGGAGAAATTGTATGTATGTATGTATATACATATATATATATATATATACATACATACATACATATATATATATATATATATATATATATATTCTATTTATATATATGCATAACGTGTACAATATGTAGTATCGTAAAATACCAGCAAACGAAAAAGAATTAAATGAAAAATACAAAATTAAATGAAAAAGAAATCATAAACCCAACCCCCCCCCCCCAACCTTTTAATACCCGTTGGTGACACCAACCGGTACTAAAGGGCTCCCTG